TTACAGAGTTTCACTGTAAACAGATAAATTGTAGAGAATATAATTGAAACAATGATTACAATGTTTTTAAAATCGCATACGAATTTATTCTGAAAGAATTGCATCCCTCAGAATGTAGCCCAGGAACAGTCTGGCCCTGTGCATTAAAAGCTGAAGAGGAGACCATTAAAATACTAAACTTCATTAGCCAGACTGGCTTTCATGTCTTTGAAATAGCTTCCATTTTTGTATTTCGCTTAACAACCCCGGACAAACTTCTTTGAGGTCAAATTGTCCCCCGTACAATGGTAACTGTCCAACAAATTGAGGAACGGCGAATTGTTCCTCCCAACGGTTAACTTTTCACGTAAAAGGATTTTTCCCGGTGCTGCGTAAAAACTCGAAATTCTCATTGTCATGAAAAACTCAGTGCCGTGAGAGGAAATTCTCAACTTTTAATTGAATTCAAAATCACAATCATTAAAAATGTCATTAAAATTGCGGTGGTTACCACGCGAATTACTCAATGGCCCTGTGTTCTCCTGTCACCGATCCACCGCATTCTCATAATTATTATTTTACTCTCGTTATCCACAACTTTTACGATTTTCATCGCTCTCGGCCTTTGTCTATTCGCGTCACGAGACTAACTTATAATTAAAGCGGCTCAATTTATGCGCACATGAGCAATGCGTCGCATCAGGAAACAATGAAATCTGTGAAACTTACTAATTGGCCAACTCTACGAAAATACACATTGCCGAAATTATTCCACAAATAAATAAGCAAGCACCTCTGAATACAGCATCAGATAATGCCATGGAAAATCTCATCAATCCAAAATAGCATCCAAACATAAAATCGAATTTCCGTTAATTCAAATGAAACTTGACTAATTTAAAGTTCATCAATTTGAATCCTCACAAAATAAAAATATTATTCTAAATCCGTTGAGTCTCACCCTCAAAAATCCCGAAGTCTCAAATCAAGTTGACAGATCCCGAAATAAATTCCGATCAATTCGTGTCAACAATTTTTTCCCAGTAACTCTCCCTTTTTTACCTTCCACATGAATAAATTCTCAAAAACTATCCACTCCCTAAATAACTCAGAAATAAACTCGGCCTCAGTAAAAAAAATTCAAATAAAACCTTAAAAAATCCATGAATACTGCATTGGCTATTGGGATGAGATCTGCAGAACGGGGATGTACCGAAAATTGGTGCAGGAAAAAGTAGGTGAAAGAGAAAATTAAGATAAAAAGAGAAAAATAAGGTGGAAAAGTGGAAACGAGGAAGGAAAGTACGAGTGGGTGCAGACAAACTAGTGGATCTCGACAGTATATATCGACCACGTCCAACCACTCGTTGACGTAGAAACGTCGGGCCTAGGGTGGGAGGAGGTTGGCTATGTCGACTACGGTAGCCAGTAAAGTTTTTTCCAATAGACCCAATTAAAACCTCAGCGCCCATCATGGATATATTCGTTCAGCTCAAAGCTGATCAGGCGCCTATCAAAAGGCTCAACATTTCCCTCCCTGTTTTTTTATACTTATTCACATTTGTTTCGTAAATTATTATTCCGAGTGCTCTCTCATTTTTCAATTAATCTGGCTGCCATTGTACTGTCGATGAGAAATTTTTCATATGCAGCGAAATTGTTCGCTGGATGATGAGAATCGCTGGGTTATTATTACGCAATGACGTTTTGTCAGGGAGACAGACATTTTTGCAATTACCCATTGATAATTACGTGCCTCCGTATGAATTGATTGTTTTGGAAATGTCAGGTGAAAAAAGAAATTGTCATCAATTTTATTTGTCTCGTTTCTATTTTAGTAAATTACATTTTTGTTTGATTCAATGAAAGGATTTATTTAATTAGGATTCATTCGGAGGACTTAATCTCGTGGGGAATTAAAATAAATTTCTTAATTAAAAATGATTAAAATGTTGCTGCTAAATTTAAGTTCAGGTCGCTTTGGTGAAATCCGAAACAGTTTGAGAGAAATGAAATTCTTCAAAAGTTTGATGTACAATTATTCCACCAATAAAGCGCAGTCTGCAGCCGACAGTTGATGCTCCCTCGGAATATCCGAGATGTTCCTAATGAATCGAATGAAGGGTGGACTGTTGGCTGTATCCTCAATGGAGTAGAGAAAGCTCGACATCTCCTGCCGCTGGGCTAGTTTCGATTATAAGCACATGACCGGTCGTTGGCCCGGTGTCACCAAAGCTCTTGGATAATTCATTCCATGTTCATCATGGGCACGAAGTCTTTCCGCTATGACAGGTACCACATAGACACTGGATAATTCCAGGATTTAATGATTCTCATTAATGATTTAAAAACCGCTCCATTCGTCAACACCATAAGAACTCTATATTCAATTTTGCCTTGATTATGATGATAATTAAATGATTCTCTGATGATTACTTCCGACCGCCTTTATCGGTCTTCAGCAATAATTCGGTGACTGAAACAAAAAAGAGTAAATGTGAAATAAATAAATAAATATGTTCAATAATAAATGGAGAAATTTCTGAATCGTGTCGATTCATGGGATTTAACAGAGGATATGAAAGTTAAATTGATCACGTGAATTTTTTAGATTTGCTGAGCACTTTTGCGACAATTAATTGACTTTAATGAAACAAACTGCAATCAACATTGAGGATCCATACCCTCGGATCTTGTTATCCAACCCTCATCGTTAATCGCACCGCAAACTCAAAAGATGGAGCGTAAAAACTTCAAGAGACTCTTCCCATACTTTGTAAACGCTCCTGGGTGAAAAGTAGTTGGTCTTCTCAGTGGTTCAACGGGGTTCAAGTTACTGGGTTGAGGAAAGTTCAAGTTTGTTGAGCCCCAGCGCGACCCGATTCTGAAGGAAACCCTTGGTGATCATCTCCCGTCTACCTAATACGGGTCTTGGGAGGTTAACAGAGCCCTCGGTAATTCTCACTGGGAATTCTGCGTTTCCACTCGTCCTGGGGAAGGTAATGGGAGACTAACTGGTGCAAGAAAATTTTGTAGTGTCTCAATCAGAAGTTTTCTTATTGGGAAAGTGTCTATGCCAGGATCTCACTGCTTACCTACACTCTTTTCGCTGACAGCAAATTTTTTTTTGGTTAATTTTCAAGTGATAATTAATTAAAGAACAACTTTCCCAGAGAATTAATAAAAATCTCTCGGATATGTACTTTAAAAATCTCAATTTCCATGAAAGATAAATAAAATACAAATTAAGTAATGGTAATTTTTCATACTTATAATCGAAGTTGAGTGTTTTTGTTCTTAAAATTGATAGTGGCACTCATAAAATTGTATAATTTGTGTTTTCGTATGTACTCCGCGGTTAGTTTTGTGAGTAATCAGAGTCACAAGGGTTTGAACAATGTTAAAATCGCTGGTCCGTTTGGTTGGACAGCAGTTCCACTACCCCACGAATGTCGTGCAAAAGCAGAGGATGGAATTTAGCCCTGGGGACGCAGAGTCTTCCTGGTGGGCCAGGAACTTTGCACACCGGTTGAGCGTGAGAATGGTGTACGGTTTGAGCTTCAACCTCACACCTCTGCACAACGTGCTAGCTCATTGCCCCCCACCAGCATCAATTTTCTTCCACGACTCTTCACCAACACAGAAGCTACTTGCCACTTCCGTCAGACTACAGTGGTTGCAGTTACTCTGCAAAGTCCACCCGGTGCCGCAGGCAGAATACTAAATACCATTTGGTGAAATCTACCCCCTACTCCAGGGGGAGTTGAAGAGTTGTTCAAATCCCAGCGCCCAGAGACCACTAGCCCACTCGTTCGATATTTTATTTGCACCCTGGCTTCAACGAAAAATCCCGTATTCCACACGTGGTTGCCAGCGATTTTACACGGGAGTTTATGAAGTGGAGATTTTTTATTTCAACATATTTACGTCGTTCTCGGTTTCACAGATGTTGACGTTAACATACTGCTTTTTTTATTTACCAATGGAAGCGTCAACATTTTAATTTTTAATTTTTTCGGAGGATTACACAAAAGAATATTAATGTAATTATTAATCAGATTGGACATGATCACTGGTGCTCCCATCCCCTTGATAATTCAAATGATATTTTATTTCTCGGTGCACTCGTAACTCTGGAGAAAAAACACCGCTGAAGGGATGATGCTGGAAAGTTTAAAACATCCGGTGGCCCCTGGTGGCCATGTTCAATATGTTATTCTTTTAGATTTCTCCAAAGACTTTATTAAACGCCACTGGTTCGTTCGAGAGGAAACTTTTTAACTTGATTTTTTTTTATACTCTCCTCCGTGATACTTATTTCGTTACCAAGTTCTGCTGTAAGAGCGACATCCCTCGGTGTATCCCCATGGTGGTTTTGCCCGAACGGCTTTTATCGTCAGGTGAAAGATCTTCCGATGTTATTTCAACTCCCCTTGTTCCATTTCCAGTGTAAACAAACTCTGTTTTTCTTTCCCCGTGTTTTTCTCGTTGTTTTATCCATTTTTTTTTTTTCATTTGTTAGTTCAGTTTGAGTCGCGTGCGTTATCGGTGACGGTTTTGAAGGATTTTAATTGCAGGTGTGATTAACGGGGGGATTTTCGAACCGGAAGTGTGGTCATCGCCGTTGAAATTTCGAATACCATCGATTCATTTCGTAGTGATGATTTGTCAGCGGATATCTTCGAATCTGAGGGAGATACAGATTTTTTTAGTGGGACCTTTTTTGAAGTGCGCAATTAAATCTGTGGAAAAGGTTATTACCGGAATTTTTGTGGGGGTCTCGGTTTTTGAGATATTTCGTGATTCGTGGGGGATTGCTTTTGAGTGCTCAACCGTTACTATCTCGTTGAGATTTTTTAATGAATTTGAGAATTAGTTTTCTTTCGGTTTCGAGTTGTTTCAATTATTATTTGAACTTTGTGTCTCGTATCTCTCTTTGATCTCAGAATAGAACACGGCGGCAACTGAAGGTCCGGCATTTCATCATATTTAATAACGAAGGCTTTTTATTTTTGTTACAGAAATGATAACTTCGTGTTTTTAATTGGATTGAATCGAGAAATTATAACTCATCGCTGTGAAAAATGCAGTCCCTTCTTTTATTGGTGAGTACAATTAAAAGGATTTTAATCCACGAGTACAATTTTCGGTTGGCGATGGAGAAAAAAAGCTGTTCTGATCGTTATTTTGCCAGGAGCGGCATTAATTTGATCCACTGGGAAGGAAGTTATTCATGAAATTTCAAATTCCTGTGGAAATTGAAGAGAATTTCGCGAAGTAATTAAATTTTTAATGGAACTTTTAAAATTTCGATAGAATAACTCAATTGAACCAGGCTTCATTGATCCTTTCATGAAAATATGAATTTTTAATCACGAAATTCCATTAACATCAGCCGAAAATCACCCGCAGGGTAAACTGAAAATTTAAGGATATTCTCCATTCGAATAATAGGAATCCGAATGGCTAAACAATGATTTCATTTTTGCCCGACGGAAAAATGGAAAATATTTATCAAAACATGTTCCACATTATAAATTTTTCCACGTGAATCAACACCAATAAATTTTCTTTACGCTCCAAGTGAAAAGAATAGTCCATTTCCTCACCAATAGGTATCATAAACTGTTTTTACGGTACGAGTGATAAAAAGTACTTTTTTCACTGGCACCGTGGCACGATATTAAGCCATGAAAAAAAATGTTTTCACACTTCGTTTGGGCGGAGCAGAAGAAAAGGAAAATTCACCGCAAATCTATAGCAAATTGACATTAAATATTCATGTTAAATGAGAAATTAAAAATTAAGCAATGATTTCTTTAAATTCCAATCAGAAAATTATTTAAATTATGAATTATCTCAGCTTGAATGAAATTTTAATTCAATTCCACTGAAAATTAAATTTCCAAAAATAAATTTTGAAATTCACTGATCATTTTCATTAACATTAAATTCCCCATACATAATGAAAAATTCAAATAATCGATAGATTAAAATATCAATAAATTTCCAACAATGTAGAATATCGAAGTTCATCCAGAAAATTTACCCGAATAATTTTTTCATTCGCGTTAAAAATCCCCAGTGGTGTACTAGTAGCTCGAAAATTTGGCAAGATCACTTGAAATAAAAAGAAATAAAAAGCGGTAATAATAGTACGAAAAGACAGCAGTGGGTTCGATAAAAGGCTGATACTTCGGAATGTAGAGAGGATTGGTTCGGCAGAAAGACGAAGCGCGGCTAGTGGAGTATCGACCCCAAGTTGTTGAGGGGATGGGTACGAGGTTGTGTGTCGTTGAAAGGCAGCCGTCGTGGCGCCTAAAAGAGCGCCGGGACGCCAGTAGAAGGGGTAGAAAACTGGTTACATCATCCAAAGCGATGGCCCCCAAGAGATGACTGGAATATCCCCGTCAGGATTCGCTCTATTTCTCCCAACTTGACGTGAAAATGACATCCAGTGGTCTCATCAAACTCCCATCGATCACCAAAACCAACTGTCGTCTTCATTAACATAATTGAGATGCCTAAAAATCTCGGGGGCACGTTCGCGTGCGATACCACCACCCAATCCTATTTGTAATCGTTTGTACGGGCGTTTCGCATCATAAACACAACTAACTGCCGTCTTATTCAAATGAGCACTAGGCGCGTAACTCCCCTGGAATAGCCTCCGCAACGAAACTTTCTTGCTTCTTTTTTTTTTTTCTTTTGAATTATTGGCGCCATGTAAAACCCATTTCTGACGATGTGTACTGCAAAATCTCTATGTTAACGCATAAATCTTGGAAATGGCTGAGGAGAATGGGGAAAGCCCTTTTTGACAAATTTTCGTCTTAAAATGTGAAACATTCCCTATACACTGGGGAATTGTCCCTCCTACCAAGTATTCCACCCTTGTTCCATAGATATTTATCATCAAATATTTTTAGATAAATCGTATTTTTTATTCTCATAGTTAACATACAAAAAATAATACATTATCCAAGTAAAACAAGCACCACAACTCATTAATTATTCATTACTATTAATTATTATTCATTAATATTAATTATTGACTGACTGATGCCCCCTCAATTTCCCCTTCAATTTCCATTTCTTTTCATCAATTATGTTTTTAATTTTTATTCTCTGTTACCGTAATTGCAATTGAATTATATTCAGATGGATAACTGTTTCATTAAATATTATTAGCATAGATTAATTTTTAAATGAACAACGGAAGGTAAATTTGACGTAAATTAATCGTCGTTGAAGTAACTCGCTTGAAATTTCAAGAGTAACTTTCCAATATTGTAGTCTATCTCCGAAGTTTATATCCCGAGCTAACAGGATAATCCGAGTAGATAAAATAGCGCTCGATATTGCTACGGGATTCGTCCATTCTTAGGCTCTACAATACTGTACGATATCAAATATCAGAAGATGGTGTACGGGAGCTCCTGCTGTGCCAGTCGTAACCCATCCTGGCGCATCGTCTCGGTTTTTGTCCCATCGTTTTACAGAAATTCATTCCGCGGAGAAAAGTCCACAAATAAATTTCGTTACATCTGGATTTTCCAATAAGAATGTGTAATTCTCCACCAGTGCAAATCGTATAAATAAATGAACCCGAGTAATTGTTGTCTGTAAAAGAGCAAGTGAAAGGCGTATTGAGAACGATTGAAGCAGCAAACTCACGATTTATCCTGAGTTGTCCCCATTTCTCTTATCAGATGAACCCCTCACAGTAAAAGTGGGAGTTGCGCCAGAGTTGTTCTCTTTGTCTACGAGAATGCCAAAAATCCCACACCCTTTCAGTCATCCCCCTATTTTTTCCACCCCCAATGCATCCACACCCTTGTAAATGTGCTCTGGGCGCCAGAATGGCTGTATCCACGAGCTCCAGAGGGAGAGGGACAATTAGGTCGATATTCCCTCTCACAAGTGCCAAGAGGGGCAGGGGGTAGTTGAAGAATTCCACGAGGGGGAGAGGGAGAGGGAAGAGGAGCAAAAAAAAAAATCGAGAATTCCCGGGTCATCCAACGAGATGAGAATGAAATATGATGTTCGTGCTTGGCGAGAAAAGTCGGGTTTAATAAAGGCGATGGAAATCCCATCAAATATCATTGGCTTACGCAGTGAAATGAGATTATATGGAAAATCATGGAATTGCAAATTTTATCTGCATGTCGAAAGTCAATTAAAAATCACCATTCATTAAATTTCCGGTCTTTCTATTTCTAAGGGATTTTCAACTTCGTTTCTCGATGTACCATTTTTACCCAATTATTGCGGATAGTTAAAAGCACTCCAAAATAAAAGATTCATATTCATTTTATTATCAATAATTTTGAATTATCCGGGAAGTAATTACGAACGAAATCATGACACAATTAAATTCAATGGAGACTTCATAGTGTTACGATGAGGAAGGATAAAGAGTTATAAATAATTAATAATGTAATTATTTTAATTTTAATTATAAGAAGGCAAAAATGGAAAATGACGGTTGAAATTAATGTGCGTAGTCGGAACAGCTGTTCGTAGACCAAAGGCATGGATAATCGATTGTTTAATCGGTTCAGGTATTGGGGGATAAATGGGGTACGTCTGTCGGTGCGGTATTTCGTCGGAAATAGGAGTTACGGTGGAAGGTGCCAGTGACAGGACACCCAGGGTATATGAGCTTTTGGGTATGAGTTGATGCCCACGGAATTGGCACTGCCCGTTGGCATCGTCCTGTCACATATCCCTGGATTCATCCTCTGGTTCCACTCCTCCCCCTTCTCACTCTCTGATATAACGCCACATTTTGGGAAACAGCGAGCATATCAGATTGATGATACCTCGTTTGACGAAACTTATCGGTCTCTTCAGACGTACCCCAAACCGTCGCACGGTAGATTATATCGATTGGTGATCGACCGGTACCAGTCGCCGGCTGGAGGGCCTCTTCCTTCGGCTAAATTTCCCGTCCTCGTCACGTAAACGTCAGAAGTATCTTCACCGTCTTTCCATCACCGTTGATAGGCATTCGCTAAATTGTTTACGAAACTATATTCTGGAGACGCTCAGACAATCCCAAATTTTGCAATTATTTTCTTATCTAGATTCACGAAATTTCCGGATTGATTTCCCATTTGCCGTTCATAAAATCATTTAAAATCATATTTTTTATAGTTCCAGTTTTTTAATTAATTGTAATGAATAATAAAATACATAATGAACGTATGAGAAATATGAAAAAATTGGGAAAATAGTAATTTTAATAAATAATTATTATTTGAATGATATTGTATTGATAATAATGGATAAATGATAGATAATGAATGATAAATGATAATAAACATGGTAGAAGAATTTCCGTGATTTCAAGATGAAAAAAAAGTACTCGAGATAAAAGCGAGCACCGACTATGACTGACGACTATTTCTATTCTCCTTGCACAATAAAACTCCTCAAAAGTGCAACGTAGTCGTGAGAATAGATCAAAGTACCCGTGTATCTCGGTAAATTTACCGCCAGTTTTTCTTTCTTCGGTTTCCAAACGACAACGACACGACCCCGACACGAGATACGAGTTTGGACGGCACCTTGGCGCCTCTGGATTTATTCTCATTCCGTTTCCTCTCCTCAGCACATCTCTCCCTTTCGTTCTACTTTTTCCACCGATCATTCCGTCTCACTTCCACTGCCTCATCCCGTTAAATCCACCCTTTAGGGGACACCAGGGGGTGAAATTTTGTCGGTCTCTCCCATTCTATTCTACCCCCCCGACACTTTATTTCCATGAATCCTCGCGATGAAGATTTATCAAAACTAAAGCCCTCTCGATAAGTTGGAAAAGCCTTCCAATTAAGTGAGATCCGGATCTTCAGCTTTTACTCTTGCTTTTGTTGTTGTGGAGAATCGGATCAATTAGCGGTGGGGGTGGGGATTTGCAGTCGAGAAATTATCAGATGAGGAGAACTAATTGTTTCGAAATATTGCGTCAAATTTCTTCATTCAGAAGAGAAGACAAAAGTTCAATTCACCATTACATAATTTTTATTTAAATTTCATCCAACAACTGTCACCAATTATAATTTCCAATTTGTCTTCACGAATAGAAATATTCAATAAAAAT